CCAACCCTTTTTTCAAGCTTTTTGTATGAAGCATTTCAGGTTTTCAGGAAATCAGGATGACAAATAAGATACTGCTTCTAATGCAACAGGGAACATCGAGTTTTTTATGTATTTATACCTATATATGTATTTATGAAAAAAATTCATTGTGCAGCCTTCCACAAAGACTGGTGTGTTCTTGGTGCAGCATAAAACCCAGCATTTTCAGGCCTTTGGGACACACATCTCTCTGAGCATGGCAGCTTGTTTTCTGGCTAAAGAGAAATCATCCAACAACAACATAAGATGACCAAACGATATAGAGATTTTAAGATACTATAATTTCCTATAGAATCTCCAACTAAATGGAAGTAATGCTCAGCACATATTTCATATGATCTTAAGATATCTAAGGTTGCAGTTGGTACAAACCTGTTCTTCCAGGACTAAAACCACTCCGAATACATGGGCTTAAAGAATTCAATTGCATTTGGTACTAGAACTATTTACCAACAGACTGATCACAGAGAGCCCAAAGACCACCACAAACAGTCAAGGTGTTAGAAAACATGACTCATCAAGAGAGAGTGAAGGATATCAGTGCCCAGAAACAGTTAAGAGATCTTGAAAAAGAGAGTCAGACACAAAGAGATATAAATTCTTTCCCATCTCTCTTCAAGCACAATACAAGTAGTCACAGATTCAAAATTAAAGCAAGAAAATGTAGTTTGGTCACTAAGAAAATTCTCTTAAATGTACAGGTTTGATACTGGAATAGAAGGCCTAAGAAATCTACAATAACAAGATCTCAGAAAAAGGCTGGACAAATCTGTCAGGAATACTACAGAGTTCATCCCCCCTTCAAGACAATACATTATTTCTAGTCTTTTTACCCTTATTTTCTATAATTTTATGATGACATTTTGAAATGATTGGGGTGTTTCTTTTCTACACTCTACAGTCTCACTGACCTTATTCTTACATGTACCCTACAAGTGCCTGTATCAGAAATAGTGTGGTCAGTAGGACCAGGGAAGTGATTCTCCTCTTGTACTCAGCCCTGGGGAGGCCACACCTCAAGCACTGTGTCCAGTTCTGGGCCCCTCACTTCAAGAAGGACATTGAGGTGCTGGAGCAGCTCCAGAAAAGGGTAGAGAGGCTGGTGAAGGGTCTGAAGTGCAAGTCCCATGATGAACAGCAGAAGGAGTTGGGGGTGTTTAGCCTGGAGAAGAGGAGGCTCAGGGGAGACCTCATCACTCTCCATAACAACCCAAAAGGAGGGTGTAGCCAGCTGGGTGTCGGTCTCTTCTCCCAGGCAGTGACAGGACACTGCCTACCCAGTGATAGGACAAGAGGACAGAGTGTTAAGCTGTGCCAAGGGAAGTTCAGGTTGGCTATCAGGAGAAATTTCTTTACAAAAAAGGTGATTAGACATTGGAAAGTGCTGCCCAGGGAGGTGATGGAGTCACCGTCCCTGGAAGTGTTTTAAGAAAAGACTGGACGTGGCACTCAGTGCCATGGTCTGGTTGACATGGTGGTGTTGGGTCACAGGTTGGACTCACTGATCTCAGAGGTCTTTCCCAACCTAATAGTTTCTGTGATTCTTTAGGACTGACCTCAGGCTCCTCAGCAAGCCAAGCAAATCTCAGATGTTTTATTAGTAAAATATACCAGTATCAATACTCAGCAAATACACTGGACTCCTATATCTGAAAAGGAAACCTCTAAGGAAATGCCACACAAAACAAAGCACACTGGATCTATCAAAAGATATTTGGGTCTCCATGGGGAAAAAGAAAATTGACCCAAAAATAACCCCAAAACCCCAAAAGAATCAAAGTTCATATGCTAAACACTGCCTCACTTTCCAGGAACATAACACTTAAAAGAGTAATTAAAATGAAAAACTATTCATTGTACTGCCATTCCTGCATAAATTATATGAGTATTAGAAAGGGATGGGCAAATCAGTATTGGGAGGAAGGTGAAGGGTAGGATTTGTTTAAACAAAATATAAAAAAGCATCAACAGACAAAATCATTACTGACAGTACCAAATGTGTCACCTTGATACACAGACTTAGTCTGACATCAAGAAATGCTGAATAATTTTCTACTTTTTTTCCTAAAGTATATGAAGCTATAAATTAAGGCATCTTATGTATCAGGTAAACCAGACAAGTTATAATATTCTTGAAATTTAATTAGTAACTCTTACAATTCCAAAAGTAAAATCCTCTCACAAGAGAATATTGTGGAAACAGATGAAAGGCCATTTTACCTTCTAGGGACTGAGGGATATTTCTACCTGAAGGTCAGAGATCTCTGTAGTACTGCTGTGCCCAGCAACACAAATAGACAGAAACTCAGCCTGGTAAGGACACTGTTCTCAAGAAAGAAACCATTCTCTTCTGACAGTATTTGTACACCACAGATCTCACCAATATGGCACACTCCTTAACTGTTAAACAAAAAACATCACCAGCAACACAAAACCATTTAATCCTGGTTCTACAGATGGTCCTACTAAATTAATAACAGTCCCTGCTACCAGCTTCTAGTTTAGGCCAATTTGGTATAGACAGAGTTAGTACAGGTCTGCATTAGATCAGCTTTCTCAACTGAGAGTTCTCCTATGGTGCTGTCCATGGCTGGCAGGATGGAAGAGACGGGACTTGCCAAGTCTCTACCAAAATGAATCCAATGAGATTCAAAAGGGACCCTGCATCGTGCCTACTCATGAGTCATCTCACTCCTACAAGGGTATTCAAAACATCTCTGCATAAAAGAGCTCAAGAAAGAAGAAAGAGATTAGATGGAGAGCAAGGGCAGGGCTGCTTAGCTGCAGGATCGAGCCAGTGCACACAGGTCAGAGACACCAGGCATCCCTTTGGCCAAAGGCAGGGAATTGGAGGAAGCACTAACACATGCTAAGGAAAATGGCTCAGAAAAATGAGATTTGGCTTTTGCTTTATATATAGTGCTCAGGCAAAAGCTGTGAAAATAAACAAAAGCATGTAGCAGGACTAAACATTAGCAGTGGTAACTATGATCTGTGATCGTGATAGTATTCAGAGTCCAAGCAGTTTGCAACTATTCTTTTAAATCCTGTCAAAAATGGATAAGAAGATTGGCTGCTCTGCTGCTCAATTTATTTTTTTTCCTTGTGTAGTCAAAGAAACAAAGTCACAGATTCGGCTTGTCACTAACTGATTAAAAATTAATCAACTATCTTGATCAGTGTTAACAGCTAATTGCAATGCTTGCTCTTATTCTCACACAGTTAAGGAAACTTAAAATGTCCATGGCAATATGAAAACAGTAATAAAGGCTACATGTAAAGAACCTGGTTCACCTTGCTGAAACCTCAGTACTGAAAGTTAAGAAGGACAGAGAAGATCTGCTTCTGTGCACAGAGGGGTTACACATACATTTAATGAAGCTAATTGCTATTGCTTACTGTAAGACTTATCTGAAACATTTATGGTCTTCTAAAACAGAGCACTGTGATAATAACTATTTCATTGTGAATGCTGCTGTGGAGACTGATAACCATTTGTTATGAAGAGCTGTTTACAGTTGTGACTGGCATTGTTTTGTTTCACCACATAATAAAAGAAATCGTGCATGACTGCTTTATTCAATTATTCATGACACACAAACCTGTCATACCTCTTGCAGGCCACTGGGATTTCTGCAGACATACTTATATATAAATATTTTTAGCTCAACAGAATCAATTTCTTCCAGCTTCTCACACTTTATTCCTCTGTACTTAAGTTACCACCTCTGAGGAATTAGAGCTGACAACAACCTGAGCTGCGAGATGTCTCTGTAGCCAATAAGGCCCTGTATGTTAATATTTTCAAAGACCTCATAGTCATTACGCAATTCACCATTTTAAGCACATTTAAGTTTGAGCTGTAGAGAAACATTTACAAAAATTAGTTAAGACTTCAGCATTTTAACTTCCTCTCTGTTTCTAAATGTAAAGCCTTAGCCTCCAAGGCCTTGTTCAGTCCCTGTTAACACACTGCTTGCTTCATTACAGATTACAGTTATGCAAGTTTGCCTAATTAATGCTCTGAATAATGTAAGAAGTATTCTTCCAGAAAAAAAAACCCCTCCGATGTGCTATATCAGATCCTGCTTTTCTCCTCAGCATAAACCTGAGGACAGACCTCACACACTGATAATATGATCTCACTATGTCCCCTCAACACAGTTTATTTAGAGCCCTAACAAATTAATTTCTCTTTTCATTAAGACAGAAGAAATTCGGTCAAGACTTTCTAACCAAAACCCCAGATCTTAAATACGCACACTGCCCTCAAGACCAGCATTGTGAGTCTTCCACAACACCAGTGCTCAAGGGACACACTGCAGATAATAGACCCCTCATCAAAAGATAAGGAAATCTCATTTAGATGCAGAAGTGAAATGGTAACATTTTAAACCCAACCAGTAACAGAAAACATCCCCCTCCAACATACTGATTAAATTGGTTTCACAACACGCTTCCCAAGAAAGTAAAAACAATCCTCCCTTGAGTACAGAAACCACACTAACACCAACATCTGCACACAACTAATTTAGGTGGCTTCACCTACCAAATAAGCAGGTCCTAGCTTTTTAACCAAACTTTAATTAAATACAGCCACCCAAATCCTTTTCTCTGAGCAATTATCAGACTGACCTATCAACCTTAAGCAAAAGGAGCTCAGTTGAGCAGTCTTTCAGACTCAAATTACAACTTAATAGAAAGGAGTATTATTTCAATTATTTCAATGTGATTTCAGTGGTAACTGCCTGGCAGTAAAGTGTTACAGGAAACATTAATTTTTTAATAACTGCTAATAAATTACAGTTCTGAAAATATAATATAAGGACTATTAGGTATGCTAAACCTGTTACTTCCCCCATCACCTTAGGCCCATTTTTTATTTTGGGATTACACAGAATCAAACACACAAAAACAAACCATGACAAGACACACATATGAGATGAGCCTTGGAAACTTACCCCTCCTGACAACTTAATCACCCTGACTTTGCTGCCGACATGAGGCCCATCACTACCACTGTTTGTCCGCTGCATGACAGTCCTTTTCACCCCCGGTTTCTGCTCCTGGGGCCTGGCTGGTACCGAAGCCACTCGAGCCGTCTGTGTGGTGGGCAGCGACGCTGCAGCAGGTTTTGTCTGTAACGCTTTCTGCGGCGCCTGAGGCTGACTCGGAGGAACTGTCCTAGTCTGCCTCAGCTGCTTCACTGGTTTCATCTGCTGTCCTTGATACTGCACATCCCCCACTCCACTCTGGAGGAACTCTGTGGGTTTGGGTTGGATATTTGGAACTACCGTGTCTTGCTTTCTAACAAGGAGTCTGTTTTTCACGTTGTGCCTGGTGTGCAAGCCGGAGTGGGGTATGTAGGGGCTGCCGTTGGTGGGGAACTCGGAGGAGTCATCCTCGTGCTGCATGTAGGACTGCTGTGTGGAAGGCTGCTGCTGCTGCTGCTGTGCAAGTCTTTCCAGCAGCTCTCTCTTCCTGGCACCAGCCTGCTGCTGCCGTCTCAGCTCCTTCTGCTTCAGAATTTCTTCTCTTAGACGCTTCTGCTCTTCTATCTTCAAACGATACAACCTAGTTTCTTCATCTTCGTCTGGATACTACAAAGGAAAATGCAAATGAATTTATAAAATTCTAAACAGAATACTCAGCTTGGTCAAAACAACATTAAATTGTTGTTTCAGATGTTGTAAAGCTGTAACTCTGAAGAGCTTTTTAAATTATCCCTGATACCAAACCAAGGCTATTAGTGGAGTGCATGTGCTGCTAAGGTTTATTTGCTATTCATTACAGACAAACAGCTCAAATCTGGTTTAGAACTTAGATATACTACTTCCTAGACAGAAAAGCTTTAATACCACTTGACAAATCTGATCAGAATACTAAAAAAAAAAAATAATGCAAAAAAGTTTGACAAATTGGAACTAATTTAAAAGTTTCCAAAACCAATTAAACTATTAATATAATTCAAGATATCAAAATATGTTTCAAATAGAAGGTAACAATACAGAGGCAACCCACTGTCACACAGGTTTTATCTTGCTCTTTTCTGACAAAGTAACAAAAGGTAGGGTGGTAAATGACCTGAAAGGCCCTGATTAGAACTATTGATTTTTCTCACAGAATTTTCAGCCTGATCTCAAACTCATTTGTCACACAATAATTGGTTATAATGAACAGCACAAGTCAATCTCTCTGACCTTGAACTCATGCACTCTCTTCAGAATCAAAATGTTGCCAAATGCAGTGTTGGAATATTAATGGTATATAGAGAATGCCTTTAATATTCCAGCCCTGGGCCCCTCTGAAAGTACTACACACCATCAAATAACCTTTCTAAAGATTCTTCAACTCTGGCAGAACGAGTTCCTATGAAAAGCTGTATAAAAATGGACAAGAGTCGAGGAAATGCAGATTCTCATCATCCTGGAAAAGACATCAAATGGCTCTTGCAATAATATCACATGCATTTTTCAAAATTAGGAAGCATGCTTTTTCATTATATTACTTCTTTTTCTTTTCAACCATTTGAAATATGAAGTTAGACTTGTACAGAATGCTTACAAATGGTAACGAGCACAATATTCTACTCAAGATATATTAATCACCACTAACAAAACCAGGCTCTATTAGTAACGATGCTTTGCATGTTGGCAAATGAACGCAGGAAGAATGCTGAAATACTTCTCAAAACCTGTGAGCCCATGATGAACCTTTATGTATATTGGAGGAACTGGGTGCAAACTGTCGTCAACACAAATGTTGGTTTTTTGGTTTGGTTTTTTTTTTTTAATATTTAGAGTGCTTTTAATCGTGGTGCACCCCAGAATCCTCCCCAAGCCAAGGGATCTACGCAGATATAGAAGCCCGGCAGACTCATATCTGCACTTATAGAATCCAGATGCACAAATCCTGAACATGTGTTCCCTTCAGCTGTAACTGCTTCTTCCCTGGGCAGGTTTTGATAAGGATTATTCCCACAGTTACTGAAAAAAACAGCTCCATGTCTCACTTTAGAAGTCTAATTAGAAGCTTCTAATTAGAAGTCTAACCAAAAGCCTAAAAAATGGCTAAATAAGACTCCAACAAAACTGGACTTATAAAATTTGTATTTAATTTCTGAATATGGGCTGTAGTCCAGGGATGAGGTCTAACACAGTCCTTTGCACGAGAATGCTCTATATACACTAAGTTCTGATCGATCTTTATACTTTTTGGACTATAACAGTGGTGATTAATGTCTAATCACAGTGACAACTAGATTAGAGGTCTGTGTTGACAGATGGTAAGAGGAACATACCTCTACAGGAGGAAACACAAATATTTCATCTTATACTGACAACTGAAAATGCTGATTGTAGTAAAAAAAAAAAGGAATATGACCCTTATGAAATACAGTGAAATGTTAAGACCCTTAAAAATGGTTTGCATAGGATGACAAAACACAGATAAGCTCTGGCTAGGAGGAGGATGTGCTGTTATGCAGATCCTGATGCAACTAATAAAGTTTGCAGTCATTTTCAGAGACACTAAATATCACAGTTATTGAAATTGTCAGAACAGAAAACCCATTCCACTTAATGAACTAGTTTATTCACTTGCTTTGTTTTAGATCAGAATATCCTACAATTTATCTAAACAAGCTTGATGGATGTCATGAGCCAGTTCCAGGTTTACCTTTGGAGGTAGCAGTGCATTTTTTTCCCCTCCCGTTAAACTGAGGTTGTCAACACCAGCCCAAGTCTGCATGAGACCAGCGTTTCTATCAGCTGCCCTTTATTATCAGGGATTTGCTTGCTCATTTGATCACCTAACAAGTTCTGAAGGCCTTGGGAGATGTAGATTATGATGTGGTAAATTCAAAACACTAACTCAAAGGTTACACAGCAGCACAGAGATGTGCACTTTGCAACATACTTAAATGAGTCTTGCCAGCAGTCAAGGAATGAACATCCTGAGGGACTCTGACTAATATGTCCCTGTAACAGTCCTTGGAAGATACATTGACTTCAACTACATCAACATTAAACACAAAAGACAACTGACAAACTGTATTACTAACACATATGAAGTTAGAAGAATGCTTAGTAGAATATTCAGGCAACTTGATCTCAAATATAAACCAAAATCTTCTTTTCAGGAACTCAACTCAGGACATTAATAATGATCCTGTGAAGTCAAGAACTTCTTAAAGGGTAAGGTTCAAAATCAAGGGCTGAGAGCCCGAGGTTATATGACAACTGCAGATCAGTCTGTTAACAGGCTATAGGTAGACCTAAATCCTTCACCTTCACAAGCAAGTTATTACTACTGTTAATTTCTCAATAAAATACCCTTGCAGCTAGAGGAAGATCAAACAACATAAAGGCCCTGTGATGATTAACACAATATTTGCATTAGAAGTCAGGTTTAATTTGAATTAGTTGTACAATGACCCAACATTACAGACTGAGAAGGGCAGCAGACTTCTCACCTGGATGAAAACAGGGATAGTTAAATCCCCTCCTGCTCAGCTTTAACTGCACCTGATATACATTATACTAGAGTGGGGGCATACACATGATCTATAGTATATATAAATGACCTATAGCATGTAGTAAGGAGCTTCAGCATACAGAACAGGCAAGAGAGTATATTGGGTCAAGAGATGAAAACAAAAGGCAATGCCTATTGACAATGATTTTCATCCCACTAGTTTAATAAGCCCAGTACAGATTTGTCCAACAAACAATAGCACTACCAAGAAAAAAAAAGAAAAAGGTAAGGGAAGCAAGTATTCTGCCTACAGAATCAACTGGGAAAAAGCAGACATCCTTCAAAGCTCAAACTATTATAATTTTCACATCCTGCATTTGGAAGCAACATTATCTGTAGGTGAAGAAGCAAGACAAACATAGAATACCTGTTTTCTTGGACAAACTATTAATGCTTCCCATGTTTTGTGTAGAAAGCTCCATAATATGAAGAAATAGTACATTGTATATAGTTCCTCCTTTTACAGGACGCTGCACACTACAAAAGGCCAGAGATGCAAATCAGTTCCCGTGGTTTTGTGAAGGTGGGCTTTTTCTGCCAGGTTTTGAGAGTTTTAGTTTCATCTGGGGTGGATTTGCTTTTCTGTTTTTCTAAGTGGAAATTCTCATCTATCTTTGAACAGCTCTTGAACACAATTTCACTGAGGTTTGAAGGGAAGACTGAGCCTTAGCTGTAGGTTTTCTTCTGCCTTAAGGTCTAAGGCAGCTTTGATGGAAATTACCAAAAGAAAATGTTGCAGGCTGCTTTTCTGAATCTAGCTGAAGAGTACTATAAGAGAAGCAGGAGTCCTACATCCTTCTCCAGGGGAACCTAGAAAGGCACTGCTAACTGAAGAAAAGGTAGCAAAGACATGCTGTAAAACAAGGGATTGAACTTTCTACTGAAATTTAAGTCCTAATATCAGTAGCTTGCTTTCTGTGTAGTGAATAAATAAAAAAACCAAAGAAAAAAAACAAACCTTTTCAGAGATCTGAAGGATTTATTACCAGTTAATAGAATTGAATGCTGAGTCATAAGAACCAGACACTGTAAGTGTTCTGGTTTGCTATCAAGGAACAAAAAAAAGAACTGGGCAACGAGGCTCACTTATGTCCCTCAGTAGAATGGGTGCAAGAACAGAGTCAAAATGGTTTGACTCTGTGGCATAAACACAAATCTATTCAGCAGGTTTGCCTTTATTTTTTTCAGTTGCAACAATAAAAACATAAGAGGCTAGAGCAATTTTGTCAAAAAATTCACGCCAAGTCTTTGTAAATGGTACAGCCAAATCCAAAGCACACAAAGGAGGCCAACGAGGATGGTGAAGGGCCTCGAGGGGAAGCCGTGTGAGGAGCGGCTGAGGGCACTTGGTCTGTTCAGCTGGAGAAGAGGAGGCTGAGGGGAGACCTCACCACATTTTACAACTTCCTCTTGAGGGGAAGAGGAGTGTAGTGGATTGGTTAGAAATGCGAGGACATATGAACATGGCTAAGGCTATGGATGAGCTGCTAAAGTACAAGACTACTGCTAAAGTATAAGATGCAGTTTTCACTAGGCCCATGAGAAAGTCTGAGATAGCAGGGCCGTGAGAAAGCAGCAGCGTCCTTGGGTATCCTAAATTGAGCTGAGAAACAGGAGCTGGGCATTACCAAAACAAAGGCACTTAACGAGCCACCTGTGTAAACAGTGGGAAGCAGTTAAGATGATATCACCACCTAACTGAGCACCAATAATGAGCCTGATTTCTGTAATATTCATGAACCTATTATAGAGTGTATATTAAGCTACTGTCAATCTACAATAAACGAAGTTCCTGGATATGCACTGCCGAGACGCCAGCACCGCGTTCATGTTGGCGGGGTCGCTCCGTTGTTTCCGGCCCCGTTCCGTGATCTCTTAGAGCTTTCCGTCGCGACGTTATTACTGGCGCCCGAACAGGGACCAAGTGGGGGTCCCTAGGAGGTCAAGTCGGATCTCCTGGGTTGGAGTCAAGTCGGACTCCCGAGAGCCAAGTCGGGTTCTCGCAGCCGTGGTCGGACGTAGGAGTTTCGGTCGGTCTTGCCGTGCAGCACAAGAAGGCGAAAGGGCTGGACGAAAAAGAGCTCAACTTGCCGCCGCCGGACGCCTCCCTTTCGGGGATTTCGGACGGCGAAAGAGTTAAGTTCCGTGCTTCCAGGGCCCGGCGCCCGGGACGACTCCTGAAGAAGGAGGCCCGCCGACAAAGCCGCAAAGTCTCGTGGTAAGGGCTGCACAAAGCGTGGTAACACGTTTTTTAGGTAATAGAGGGACAGGCGGCACTATCATTGCTCCAATGCTTTCTGGGAAAGCGGGGAGTTAAGACGAACTGGCTTTGTGGCAGATGCTGCTTTCATGTAAGGGCCAGGGATATGAAGCGAACACTGTAACTGCCTTTACTATCTCTACTTGGAAAGAACTTAGTGATAAACTCTTTACTGCTGCCTGTAAGGGAGAAAAAGTTGCTGCTTCCCTCCTTACAATTTGGCGATTGTTATCTGGAACAAAGGCATTAAAGCACAGTCTGAGGACATTAGGATGCTACTGGATACCATCATACGGAGAAATCGTGTAAAAAGGGAGTCGAGCGGCGTTGAAGGGAGACGGAGCGGGACCAGAGATCACGGAACGGGGCCGGAAACAACGGAGCGGCCCCGCCAACATGAACGTGGTGCTGGCGTCTCGGCAGAGGAGGGGCAGGCACTGATCTCTGTTCTGTGGGGAACAGGGACAGGACCAGAGGGAATAGCCTGGAGCTGTGCCAGGGGAGGTTTAGGTTGGATATTAGGAACAGGTTCTTCCCCCAGAAGGTGGTTGGGCACTTGAACAGGCTCCCCAGGGCAATGGTCACAGCAGCAAGGCTGACACAGCCTACAAGTGTTTGGACAATACTCTCAGGCACATGGTGTGACTCTTGGGGATGGTCCTCTGCAGGACCAGGAGCTGGACTTGATGATCCTTGTGGGTCCCTTCCAACTTGGCATATTCTGTGATTCTGTGAAATTGCATCATCTGGCTGCTTGTGTTCAAACCCACAAAATATCCTAAATAAAGAGCACCTACATGTACACATCACACATTTCACAATGCTGATAAAATCAGCTCATGAACCTGAGAAAGGTATGAAACACACTACAAAACACAGGTGCTGTACCTCTTGGACAAGAGAGTGAATAACAAGGTTACAAGTTACTTGAAGAAACAAACTGCTCTCTTGCCAACTTCCAACTGGAAAAAAAACTATGATAAGAATCTTCTAAGCACAGTATAAGAGGCACCATTATAAAATCTCCTTTCTCCATTCTTCTCCTTTTTTAAACTCAAAAATTCTTAATACTGCCTTCATTCCTCTTATCCTAAGCTGACCTCAGCATGAGCACAATTAGGCCCACATCATTAAGACTTTCCAATTTCATTGACAAAACAATGTTTCAGACCGAGGATATACAAGTTTAAATCCTAGAGAGTAAGAGCTATTTTAAACAGGCATTTAAGGTCAGTATTTTGCAGCCTCATAGGACCACAAGTGTTCCCTTAGTAAAGCAGAAATACAGTTTTTAATCTTCTAGTCACTTGCATTGGAAACCTTTCAAATATCTATATTTAAGGTGAGCAAAACCTCTAATAGCCAATATTGCTATTTCTTTTTTTGTGCTTCATGAATGATAGGGCACTCAAATATAGCCACTGATTCTTTGGGAAGAAAGATGCAAGGAAAATATTAATAATTTTCCAGTTGAAGACACTTGCAAAATAACCTGCCCACTTCAGTTATGAGCAATACAGCTAGAAAAGATGACAGAACTTAACTCTTTCTCATCTTCATAGAAAGCAAAAGAACCAGGTGAAGTTAAGTAAAGAAAAACACACAAAAAAGACTGGAAAACATTACATTCTGGCTAAGGAGAGAAATGTAATAACCTACAACACCAGGGAAGAATATGGTTAAATGCTTGGAAATGATCACTGTTAGTGCACCAATCCTGTCTGCAGGAGTGACAATTAAGCACCATCAGTGAACAAGACCACTGCAGTGGCACAGCCGAAAACGGACAACTGCTATTACACCTTTTGCAGTGTAAAGCTCTATTCCAGGTCTGCTTTGGAAGGAGAAGGATTCTGTGTGTGCACACATTCCCACACTCTCCTAATTTTCTTGCCAAGTATGTACTTCTACGGCTAATAATAGAAAACACTAGGAGACTTCTTTTTTTTACAAGACAACTCTTTTTCAAAGATAGTTTTGACATAGAAACAAAAAGAAAGCTTGATTTGTAATACCCCAAGAATTCACATAAGTAAGATTAGTTGGTTTGTTAGAATATGTTTAAAACATAATAGGGAGAAAACAAGACGACTGCTCTGGGTTTTTTGTTTGATTGGGGTTTTTTTAATTCACTTGATTAAGAGGAATTAAAAAATATTCATACCTTTTTCTTAACATTGCCAGAGATATTTCAGAACTAATGCCTTAATTTTCATATGACTACACTATAGAATAATTTCAGGATGTTTTAGATGGGGAGGCCTGCAGCTGATTTGCTTCAAGACTTACCTTACTAATGACCTAAAGACAGAGGCTTCTCTGAGGCACATTTTCTGTGACTAAGATTATTCCAAGAGACCGAATCGAGGAGAAGGAGATTAAATACTTTTTCCAAAAAAGGTGACAATTAAAAGCTGAAAAAAGGATTATTTTTCTTTTTACTTCCATTGAAAAGCAAGTGCACAGGAGGTCAAATGCTGCTAGCTATGGGTTTCTTTTGTGCCTCATTTGTAGAAATTAGTTATGACCATCTCTAATACAAGAACAAGATGAAAAGGTAATCATGAGCAGCTTAGAAGGAAGACAGTATTACCACAATTAAAGCTTTCAACAGTTGTTGAAGAAAAACCTGGTCCATGAGACAAGATTCATGGTTAACTACAGCTATGAAGATTTACAGTTCTTCACAGAATAAGCTGATAAAGTACACAGGGTGCATTTAGCCATCATGATTGAGATTAAAAGCACCATCAGTGCAATCCTACCCACTCTCTCAAACTAACAGTGCTCACGGAGAGACTTCTCTAGCTTCCAGGGAAATGGTCATCTGTTCATACTACATAATCCAGTGGAGCTGAAAATGCTGGTGTCTCTTTTTTTTATTGGGTAGAATACTAGCAGAGCACTAGCAGAGCAAACAGCATCATTTTCTTCCAAAATGGAAAGCTTTAAAGCATCTCCTATTTTCCCTCACACGACAAGGTTTCATAAAAGAGAGATTTTCTTCTTCAAGAGCAAGAAGCTCCTGCGTGGATGCCCAAGGCCCTAGTGGAGACTGAACAGTCTAAAGGAAAACAGCATGAGGAAGACAGTCCTCCAAACACCCCTTTTTTTTTATCTTTTCAGCCATACAGCATCATAAAAAAATGAAAGAGAAGAGGCTTTCTGATTTAGAATATGATCATCTGAAAAAAAATCCTAATTCTGTAAGATAAAAATGGACAAAACAAGTATTTCAGAGGCTTGTATCACTGATGACCTTTACTCAAACTCTGCCTTTTCATAGTAGAAATGACTCCTCCTCCTGCAAAACAGATTCACCACAGCCTTGCCAACCTTCCAGATATTTTTTGTCAATGGAGACTGTTTCTGCTATTGTACTAATGGAGAAAAGTGCAATTCAGAAGGGAGGCCTCTAGTGGCACCAAAAATTATCTGTTGAACAACACATTAAGTGTGCTTACAATTCATAAGTCAGACTAGAAAAGTTTTCAAAAGGTGGGAACTTTGTTTCTGGATTGTTTGGGTTCTGTTCTTTTGTTTAACAACAACAACAACAAAATCCCTTACCTCTGGTTCAGATTTTCCCTCTGACTTTGCTTGGCCCACCGGTGTGATTGCTTTAGCTTTCACTTCAGGCCTTCCCTGGGAGTTTCCACCACCACCAACAGACTTGTTGGCAGACACGGTGCTGGTGATGGGTTTGACCTGAGCAGCTGGGGTGGAGTTTCGCCTGTTGTTGCTCATTTCCATGGCATGGGACGGTGCTATCGGCAACTCGCGCAAGTTACTGTTCCTTGGAGCACTTGACTGTAGCTGCTGATTTGAACGCTTGACAATGTTCTGTGATGGTGTACTCTGAAAAGCAGGAAGGAAAAGAAATTGCAGACTTCCACTACAAACCAGGCTAAAGTGTTTTTAGTTTCACATTTTCCTGATTTAGTGAAGTTTGGGGAAACAAACTGTTTGAAGAGGCACAATATTTTTAATGTTAGAAGAGAAATTACAGAAATGAGAACATTTTAATAACCTTTTTTTAATTAAAAGCAAAACTTAATCTCACTTTTCAAACACCATTCTCAGAAATTGGCTTCACTATGTGACTTACTTTCCTAATCAAAGCAATTATTCTGAACTATAGTCACATTGTCTTGAGCACTGCTACAGACTGTTGTGCTACCCCAACCTACCAAGCAACAGAATATGCTAGACAGGAGCAAACTCACAAGACATGAGGGGCACTATCTGAACCAGAAAGCTGATTAGCAGTAGTACAGAGAGGCCTTCAACTTGAAAGACAGTGTCAGAGAACTGGGCTCGCACACAGTCACAGGCTACCAGCAGTTGTAAAGTCTTATTAAGCAAACCTATCCTTCAAAAGCCCTATATTGCTACTTCTTGGGTAACTGTAACATCTCCTACTGGACCCAGGTGAAGAAGAACACTAAAGACTGGAGGAGAAAAGAAAAAGGGGAAGATACATGTTGTATTTTTCAAAGTAGATTATAAAATGACCAAGGCAGAAAATAAGCAAGAAATTATGAAAGAAGGAAAGGGAATAAATGTGACTGAAAAACCACACTAGTGAGTTCTGAAACTTGTGCTTAAATGCCTGCTACTCATGCAGAACTATGCAAGGCAACACTGGTGTACATGGTACTTACATGCCTTGGCTTCATTGGACCCTGTCGTGGCTGACACTGCATCCTGTTGTTATTTGGCTGCTGCTGTGTGGCCTGTATGTGAGGCCTGAACTGGGGCTGGTTCATGGGCATCAAGGGCTGTGGAGGCCCTTGGAGATGGTGATGGTGTTGCTGCTGCTGCTGCTGGTGATGGTGTTGCTGTTGCTGCTGGTGATGGTGCTGCTGAGGCTGAGGTTGTGGCTGAGGTTGTAATGGAGGATGCATGGGACCCTTCATATGAAGAAAAAGATTATTTTAGTTTCAAGGTAATAAACTCCTGAAGAAAAGTAGCTCCAGCCTCACAAATCCTTAAAACATCTGTAGGTAGCTATGAACCAGGTTAAACCAAAATTATATAGAGTGAAAAGCAGACTAGCAGAAGCAGTGCAAGGCTGTTCTACACTTAAACCTCTGTAAGCCAACAGCTGAAGTGGAAACAGACAAACGCAAGGGTGCACCCTTTTCTAATGACTTTTAAACTGGCTTTTTGTTTGTCTGGAGGTTTATTATTCCCCCCTCCCCCAGGGGGAGGGGTTTCCCCGTGGGTTTCCCCGCGTTCAGAACAGACACCATGAAAGGTCCCGCACAAACATTCCCCCGCTCCCCGCAGGCAGAGGGCGGTGCCGGCAGAGGGCGCTGCCGCCCCGCGCTGCCCGGGCCGGGATCTCGGGATACGGGATCTTGGGATGCGGCAGCGCGGAGCAGATCCACCGCCTTCCAGGCATGGCAACGACAGCGCCACAGGTCCATCCACCTCCCGCCTGCACGCCTGAGTCCCCCGATTTGGTTCCGTGACTCCTCTGAGCCCGTACCTGCATGCTGGGCTGCGTGTGCGGGGAGAGGAAGGGCTGTCCCGGCGCCTGCAGGAACTGCTGCCGCGGGGGGATGAAGGGCGCGGGTTGGCCCGAGAGCCGGCTGGTTGAAGTGAGAGGATCCCAGCCGGGACCCTGGGGCGCATGTTGGGACCGCATCGGCCGCTCCCCTGTGGATACAGGGCTGGCTGTCGCTGCTGGCTGAAGGACCGGCCCCGGACTGCGGCTGAACGGCATCGGGCTCTGCGCAGGGAACCGGTGGGCGGGGCTGTTCAGTGAAGGGCGGCGAGGGGGTGAGGCGGTGGAGATACGTGGACCCGCTGCTCAAACAAGGGATGACCCGGGAACCTTGGATCTGCGGGAATCAGATAAGTGATTAAATTACAACCTCTCCATGACACATTTAGGAAACATAGAGCTCTATTTTATAGTTTTGTAAAAGTAACCTAAAATTCGCAGAATGCAAAACTGTATGGGATGTTTTCATTTTAAGAGCTCCCCTCAAGGTTATGTTTCTCTTGCTCCTGCCAGTTGTGTATAAAAGGAATTGATCCTTGCAAGACAAGCACAACTGGTACTTTGCTGGAATCAGCAATACCTTTTTGAAATTCTACTGTAATAAAATCAATGAAGGATTATAGTTTAAATCACACAAGAACTCATGAAACATTGATACCGTGGGCTGACCGGATATTTAGCAATTTTTTACATGTTGTATGTGTGTAAAATGTCTGTATACATATACACCGTAAATGTATACATTATATGTCTGTAAACATATACATTAAATATATACACGAAACATATATATGGTATAAACATGCACTTAACTATTTTGTTTTCTGGGTTGTATCATTCTAGCTAACCTTGACAAATTTCTTACACTGCACACGCAGTCCAGGCAGCTTAAAAAGAGTTACTAGTGTAAACTCAAGTGTATAGAGAGTACTTGTTACCTGAGATATAAAAAAGTGCAACATTTTTAATGCAATAATCACTTAGATATTATTTTTTTCGTATCTGTATAAATATCCAGTCATGGTAGTTACAGATGAGAACATACAACTACATTAAAAAAAGTTAAAAGATACCAGACAACCAGAACTTTTGGCATGTACCAGTCTGGCTACATCAAACAGGATCTTCCAGCCTTCAGGTTCTTCCAAACTCTTCATGGTGTGGGATATACACTCCCACTGCAGAGTCACTTTACAAAAACTGGATTTGGGGATTTTGTTTCTTAATGGGAATGAAAATGCTTACCTGCTATGAAGAAAGGATCTCTATCCTGAGGAGGTGGAGGAGGGAGTGGTGGTGGTGGTGGTGGTGGCCCTCTCCACTGGTCCTGGATTGGCAGCCTTGGGGCTTGGGAGAAATTAGTAGGAACTGGTCCGGGTGTATGCTGCTGGAAGTCTGGGGGGCCCTATTTAATAAGGCAGAATCAAAATTAAGACTACCATCCAGAAATTTATGTACTGTCTACTATAACTTTTTTCCTCTTAAAAATACAATTGCTTTATGAACTATCTCCTGCACAAATTGACAGCCCTTGCCGAGTCATTCCTTCAAAATGGAAGATATATTAAACTTGAGTACAGTATCTTGAAATGAATTCACAATGTTTTAATAATCACTAGCACCACAGGAATACCATTTCTTCTCAAGCTTATTGAAATCCATGCAATTATTGACCTTCTTTCCCATTAATCCAAAAAAATCTGAGTGTCTACTTTAGAAGACATTCCTGACATTTATCTTCTTAAACCGTACCATTCTTCATCATCAGTTTAGTACAATGTAACCTACAGAAAGTGAAGCAGCTTTACTTATAAAAAAAAGGGGGGGAGAGGACAATTTACGGTATTCAGAAAATTAAAGAAATCATCTTTCTAAAGGAAGTAAGAGTGTAACATTTCTGTCTATTGACAGCTTAGCATCTGAAGCATTATAAGAAAGAGGACAAAATTTTATTTCCTCCAGTAAGATATAGGGTTTTTTCTCCTCCCCTCCCCCCCTTTTTTTTAATGTAAAGTGAACCTTTGCATACTACAGGAAGGATGTTAATCCAAAAGCAGAACTTTGAAGAAGACATTTATTGAGTAATCCACACAATCATTTTTTACTTTTATATCAAACACATTGGCAACCCCTGATATACAGAATAAACTGCTTCATTCTTAAGCATTTCCTTATTATGTGAGTAAATCAAGTAAGTCATGAAAATAATCTACGAACATTCTTATTTTCCTCTTTATAAGGACTCTGGAATCAGTGGTGGTATGTGTTCTGTCTATATGTGACGCTCACCTTGAAGCTTAAAATTTGCCATTGCTGGAGACAAGCTTTTCAAAACAGATTTCAGACCAAAAGCTCCCTGATAGACTGAAGTATGGTCATCAGCAAAGGGTCAAACAACTAAGTTGCTGTGGTTTATCATTTATCTGTTGAGCTGCCCTCACCAAGTCGGTCTTCCTCTATCCTATTTGTACTGCACAAACACTGACATTTTAGGAAAAGAATTTCTCACACTGCAAAATGGGTATTTGACCTGGAAACTGAAGTCTATTCACTAAGTAGCACAAGACAAAGCTGCTTCACACCCTTCTACCAGCACAATACAACTGGGATTGGCCAGGCCCAAATATCTAGATGGGAGGCACTGAGGAACAGAGGTGTTATTAAATCTGTGGCCTTCCTGAAACCACCTAAATGGGGTTATGTGAGATACTGAGACATCTTATTTGGAAGCAAGACTGCGACTACTTATTTTATGTCATTATACAGCCATCAACTGTAAATACTTTATCATTCCTAGATATTAAAGGGCCTATATCCCCTTGTCAGTGTCACTGTGGGTATTTCATTTAGTGGAAAGACATTATATTACACTCAAGCATGACACTCCTCATAACATACACACTGTTTGTAGGAGGAGCTGCTACACTTCCGCAAGTGAACAGTTACCACACACAATATTCTTGCCACCTCGGAGCTGACTAACACCTTTGAACTTCACAGGCTGTCTGCAAACAGCAGCAGTTGGAGGAAGATGGAGCTATTTGGGATGAAAAACCTGACATTTATTTGTCCCATAAAAATCTGTTCAGGTTTAGCTGAACAAGGATGTTCAACTGCATTGCCCTTCCCCTGTGTTGAGCAGGACAGCACTGGCTGCCTGCCAAAAGAGCAACTGAACACAAACCTTGAAGATCCAGACCCTTTGCTCCCAAAAACATACCTCTAGCACCACCACACATAGGAACTGCCAGAGGTACTTTCAAACAAAGATTAAATGCATTCCCTCACCTCAGAAGCCTTGATGATAAAAGGCTATTTCTCAAACTCCTGCTCTTACAGCCCTTCCCCACGTTGCACATCCTCGAGGGAGGCACCCAGCAAACCAAGTGGTATTCAGTTATTTAGTTATTAGTTTATCACTGGATAATGCACAAGGTCATTGCAACAGTAGCATGGGAGAACCCGGTTCATCAGGGCAGTTTCACACAAGACGGTTTTTATCTTGCGTCTTATTTACAGCACGTAACCACATCCACATGTCGCAGCCAGGGAGAGAACACGGTCTTGACACACAACCTGCTTTTTCTTATTTTCAGGGTGCTTCACTTGGAACCTCTCAGATTCTTCACATTTTTCCCCAGACAAAATACATGCCTACATATACCTTAGTCATTTTTAAAATAGGCAGTGAAAAACAAATTATGTGGAAACCTACTGAAACCCAGGCTAATAAATCCTAAGTATCGCATATCTGCCACCCGAGCTGAAGCACTGGCAGCAGCAATGATCTGGCTGGGCTTGGTTCCAAGCACCAAATGGCTCTGCAGTAATCACAGTCTCCTCTACCTGCTTCTTCCAAACTCAGTGTTTTCTGCCCCGGTCCAATCTCTCCCCTGTCAAACTTCAGTTTTAGTGTGAGGCTCAAAGGTAACAGGCTTAGGCTACAAAACAAGCAGGGATCTCACCTTCTATGACCACATTTGTAACCCACTCTCAAGCATCTTCCCCAATATTAATTCTTCACCCAATCTGCCATTTTGTTCTCCTGATCCTGCTTGCTTCAGATATCTTCTCTCATCCCCATCATGTCTTTCACTCTGTCTGCTGGTTCCTAATCCCAGCACGGACTCCCAGCTTCCAGATTCCAAGCTGGTGGTCTTGTGCTGTGGCAGCTGGTCAGGAGCTCCTATTTGCCCCCCCCAGACCCTGACTTCCTTCCTGTAGTCTCACTCCAGGCCATTTCCCCTCTTTTTCCTAGCAGGGAGACAGAAGCCAGTGAGAATAGGCTGAAAAAGATCCTCTACTTGTACTTTAAATAAACAATTCTTTGTACCAGCTTTCCCTCTCCTACCAACCTTGTTATTAAAATCAGATCTACCTCCTGCCAAGGCAGCCCTGAATTGCAAATGCATGGAAAGTCCTGTTGAATTTCACACAGCTCTTACATACTGAAACATCCTCAGTGCAGCCAAACTCAATTTTCTTCCTTGAAAACTGAGCAATAATAAAACATTTCTAAATTAACTCATTTGGGCATAACAATATTTTTCCACAGTTTCAATTTTGGCATAAAAGTATTTGGAAAATTTCAACCAAAAGGATTCAAAATGAGGCCAGCAACTAGCACAGGATCTTGATTTAGGCCATAGAAGTCTGTTAGTATTACACACACTGAGAGCAGCTTTATATTTCCCATTATAAGGAAACTTTAAACCTTTATGAAATAAGATTTGGGTAAGTTTTAGAACTGAGTAATACAAGGTTATTTTAGATCTAAGAAAGCTCACATTTTTAAAAAAATAATGTTACAAAAAGTTACACAACCCAGAAACCAGCAAGATATTTTACTGTTAAAAATACAAGCAATGGTAGTTTCAGGCTCGCTATGATCTTCAGTATCAGAGGTGTTCATTCAGCTTAAGAAGCAAACATTTACTGTCCTCTAAATACTTTCAGTGATTTTAAAACAAAGTAACAGATTATCCAAAAGGTGGTGTCAAAAAATCCCAACAAATGCTCACTAAGATACACTGCGAATTTTTTTTCCTCTCTAGTTTTATTAGCTGTGTATTTCATACAAGTACATCCCACAACATAAGTTTGGGCTAAAATAACTCCAAAACAGTCCAACAAAGAGCAAGAAGAAAATATCCCAAGCTTGGACCTCTTCCTACTTTTTTCCACCCCTAGCAGTTAAGAATTCTGGGGGGTTTTCCACTTACTTTTTTTTTTAAAGTAAGATTAGTAAGTCCCTCACTGTCAGGATCCATTAGTGCCAAACCCACGACCCTTCCCCTTCAGGGCACTTAGTTTACACACAGTGTTGAGGTTTTTGGAACCTACAAGTTTCAAAACTGGCAGAACTCCAGAAGTATGGCTGACATAAATCACACCACAGGAAAGCTGCAAGATACACAGACACTGAGTATTGCTAACAAATACCTACTTATTTGATTGCTGAGCAGTTTCTAACTTCATGTATATGACATTTTGAAGAACTACTAAAATATGACTGATCACATTTCTTGGCTGACAACCAAAGGCCAATCATGCGAAATTAATTGCAAAGACATTTGTTATTTGCTGAAAAACGAATTACCAATATTTGCTTCTAAAAAAAAAGAAAAATAAATTAGTTTGATTCTCTTCCTTCTTACAGCCAGAAAAAAAGACTGGCCTCCACTTTTTTCCTAAACAAGCTTTGCTTCTACTATACCTAAAGAATAAAATAGAATTCTGCCCTAAATGACAGTAACGTGGGCAGGCAGAAGGTTGCATTTTCAGATTTTACACTGCTGAGATTTTTCTTCTGAAAAAGTTTTCAGGATAATTCCAACAGGAATTCGATTGTGTGATTGATTCATTTCACACACTCCATGTGAAACTAAAACTCTAACATTCAACTAGAGCTACTGCTTCCAGACACAAATGAACTTTTAAGAAAATATGTGAACCAGGATGAGTACTTTTCTGAGTGATGTTTGTCTATTTTTCTGAAATGCCATTACAGTTTTTTTCAATTTAATAGAAATATAATAATATTACAATTTCAACTTTTACTTATGCCAAATTCTAATTGTCCTAAAACCAGTACCAAGTAATGTAACAGTTCTCCATTACTTAAAGCTTTTGAGGGTGTGCTTGGTTTTTTGGGTGGTTTTGTTTTGGTTTTTTGCTTAACAGTAGTTAAACTACAATTTTAGGAGTGGATTATTTTGACATTAGTGTTAAACTCTACATTCAGCAAGAATTTGTTGCTAATAACCCCCAAGTGCCCTCTGGTATTTGGTAGAAAAGACCATACAAAGCTACTTAACTTCAAAAATTAATGAAGAGCAGGTGCAAAAGCCAGGTTTCATAATGGTCTATTTTTGATAAAATAAGCATACTGTAACATAGTTGCAT